CCCGTCCAAATACCAAACATACCCAAATCAAAACCCTTCTGCCTCAAACCCTTTGATTCCAACAGACCCTTCGATTCCAACATATTAGTAGTAGCAAACATTAGGTAACTTCGTGCTGTAAAACGACAGATTGGTAATGAAAGACAATGTTTCATATCTTTTCAAAGTGAATACAACATTGGCAAGAAATACTACAAGTGTTCAAGCAGAAATATTCACATGACTTTAGAATGGTCCATAATTAGATGAAAATAATAATAATAATAATACATAAGGTGTAATGCATGGAGCAATATATTTCACCTGTGGCCAATCATGAAACGGACAATGATCCCCTTTTCGTGCTCTAATCGGAGTAGCTTTTCACCTAATTCACATGGAATTTATAAGTGAAAGGGGAGGAAAACAGGAAAAAGAAAATGCAAAACATGATACTATACGTTCTTATTACTATTATTATACCTTGGGGCATCCAGGTTTCTCTAATGGAATCACGTCTTCTTCTGCCACTGAAGGCAGTGTTTATTCCAATTACCATAAAAGGCTTCCTTCTTATCCCAGAATTTGTCCTGTTCATGGTAGGTAAGTTCTCCATTTTCCTCGTACCGAGGAAAGTCTTAGTTGAAGGTAGCTCAATTCGAATCTTAGCAATCGAATTATCTAACGAACTAATGACAAAGAGAAAGACCGTGAGAACAAGCATACAATAGAGAAACAACATACATTTGGAAAACTTCTCTTCTGTTTTTTTTCTTTTCTTCAGCACGTGCAGTTAAGGTTATGATCTAAACATATTTCTATATATACCATGTTAATTGTCTGAAATTTTGTAAAAGAACATAAGGAATGAAGTTATAAATTTATCATTTACGTATACGAAACTCACCTAATAGCTTCATGGGCTTTGTTAAACTCACCCATCATATCATCCTCCTGGTAAAAAAGCAAAAGAAAAGCTCATTCACATAAGATAAGTGAAATGTCTATGAGTAAGCTGGCCTCTGAACTTTTGGATAGTCTCATCCAAGTAATTATAACCTAATTACCAAATTAAGTGAAATCCTAGCGAAAAAAGTTAAATTTATATCTTGAAGAGAATTTCTTGTATTTTCCCCAAACTGTATACGAGCTATATCTCTTTAAGTAAAGTCGATTTCACGCCTCAAAGCCCTTCTTGATTTCGTTTTCACGATCTGTTACTGTTTTTAACATTATGTTGTAATCAAATGCTTGTCCTAAGTTTTCCTCATGATATATGGAGTATCAATTTTACCTGTTAAAAATGGTTACTAGCATTGATAAAAGAGTACCCATAGACAACAAAATAAGATACTCACGTACAAACATACATCCATACATGCATAAAATATACAATGTATACTAAATGATACATACATACATACATACATACATACATACATACATACATACATACATACATACAAACATACATACATACATATATTTATATATATGTGTATATATATATGTATGTATATATATACATGCGATACTGAATTAATGATGATTATATTTTCTTGTGTTGTTATATAGAATTTTGCTAGAGATAGGGGCTGAGAGAGTGTTGGACCTGGTTCTTTTTGTTTTCACAATCATCAGGAACAGAATTCAACTTCTGCTCTTGATTGTACAGCCTTGGAAACGTGGCCCGTCCATCTGATACAGTATGATCAGGAGGAGCCCAAACTCTAGTTGCAATTGCATATATACAAAGATTTACACGTAAAAATTGTCAAATTGAACATTGACAAATTAACTGAATAACAAATTAACAAAAAAAAAAATCCAAAATGCTACACCTGAGATTTAAACCTATCTCTCTCTCTTATGTCAAAGTGATTCAAAATTGTATTAAGAAAATAGGTTTTTACCCTAACGGAGGGGATTCAGAATCATTGCATGTACATGTGGCCCCCCGCCACTGCATGCATGCAAGTAGGGGTGTACATGTACCGGGTTAGTTCGGTTTTAATCAAAACCAAACAAAATCAACTATATCGGTTTGGATTGGTTCGGTTTTGTCGGGTTTTTCGGGTTTTCGGGTTTTTTTTTGTTACATGAATATTATTTCAATCTTACTTTGTTAAAATTATAAATAAAGCTTTGATAAGTGAATATATGTTTAGTAAATATGGAAAAAATTGACAAATATATGATCTATTAAAATATTCTAATGGGAGAATTTTTTTAGTAACGCATGATAGTTATTTTCTTAGTCGTCTAACAATAATTTTTCGTTAATCTATTCTTTCAAAGTTAATACATGAGAGGATCCCAAATATTACTACATTTTCTAAAGAAAAATCACTATAAAGTCTTAAAAATATAAATAAAATTTATATATTTATATGTTGGTTTGGTTCGGATTTTTTTTACTCAATACCAAACCAAGTCAAACCAAACTTAGTCGGGTTTTTTAATCGGTTTGGTTTGATTTTTCGGTTTGGTGCGATTTTCCGGTTCGGTTTGAACACCCCTACATGCAAGTATCTAAATTCAGAAATTAAACTCACCAAGTTTCTTCAACAAATTCAAAAAATTAATTATAAACTCAACCAAATTTAAAAGCCATTTCTTGAGAAGTTATGCATTAAAAATTACCCCATCTCCAGAATTTTTCTACAAAATGTCAAATGAAAAGAAAAAGATTTTGTACCTCTTAGAGAAAAGCATGCCAAGAGCGAAGCTAAAGATGCATAAGATAACAATCCATTTAGGTGAAACTTTTCCTTTGCTTCGGTTTTTCATAAGTTTTTGCTCTACTGATCTTTTGAGAATAATTTCTTTTGTACGTATGAAACAGGAAAGCTCCTTTTTCAATTTTCTCTACTCTGCCTTTAATTTTCTTTTCCTCTTATTTATTGCACACGTATTTAGATTATAGTAATTGTAAGGTTGATTGTTAATACTAGTGTACCACAATTGGCCAAATATCATAAAATGAGAAATCAAAGCCAAACATTTGGGATCCTTTGGTTGTTTTAGTCGAGAATTGATTTCTCTTTTTATTATAAATATGTTTACCCTAAAATCGGATAACAACTAAATTTATACACGGTTTTAAAGATATGTGGATTGATTCAACACAAATAATGAGGAATACTAGACAAACGAATTAAAGACAAAATAAATGATCAAATTAGTTGTAATGTTACAGCCCAGCCCGAGCCAGGATTGAACAGTAGTTTTGCCCTCGATCGGATCCTTGGTTCAAACCCAATTGTGAATGAAGAAAAAACAGTTAAGTAAGAACTTTTTAATAGCTAGAAAGCAGAAAATGAATTTGTATTGCCTTGATTTGTGTGTTACCCTTTTCCTTATCAAAGAAAAGCTTCCCCCTTATATAGTTGGAGAGTTTCATCCCTAGTACAAATCTAAAATCACATTAATTACTGATCTATAACCGACATCGACCGAGATCCGTGCCATGATATCAGTTGGTGGCGAATATCACAGCCTTCTATCCGTCGTGTATAACCGTTCATTGTGCTTTTCGAGGTCTTAGAACTCGTCCCGAGTCCGGGGTGCGTCGTTTTATCAGGTCTGATGGCGAGTACTCCGTTCACTTTACACGGGCCTCGATACAAAGAGTTCCCAGCCTCGATTCTAATCTCGTATGTCCATGTCCTCATTCCGCTTTATCCCCGATTTTACCCGTATACAGATAGTCCCCTCGTTTTCCGAAGAGTAGGTTTGCCGAAACGATGGAAAACAATAGATGGACCCTAGTTCCTTCCTTTGTACATTACAGCTGAGGTGACGAATAAGCATAAATGTCCCGTCAGTCGCATCGTTCTGACTTTGAACACGTGCCAGATACTGGTTGGCTGCGTCGTATGTAAAACCCGCGCATTACTGTTTTCCCCTATAAAACTTGACTTTTTCCACTTCTTTCACTTTCCGATCCTAGCTTTTACTTTTGAATTTTCCAACGGCTTTTAACTTTTTTGAATCTTCATACCCTCTTTCTTGAACATTCATATCTTCATCTCCAACCTTCAAACCGTCATATTCTTTCTTCAAATCATATTCTTCCTTCGAATCTTCATATCTCCTTTAAATCTTCATATTTTTCCTTCGAATCATCATATTCTCCTTCAAAACTTCATATTTTCCCAAATCGCGATGGCTAAAACTTCCATGTCTGTACCGCAACAAGTAGCTCCCTCGTCTTCCAATATGACCACGGGTGTCGAGGTGGCCGCTCCCGAGCCCCCCATGAAGAGCTTCATACTCGAGGGCTTCTCTATCGGGGATGACTTTAAAGCCGAGAAGGCCTCTAGTCAACAAGACTGAGGCGAGGGAGCATGGAGATACATAGAGTCCGAATCCTAAATGTGATTCTTTTGGACTCAAAATACTTTTTTAAGTGTAAAAAAATTACATTTTATATAAAACGTGGTTATGAACCGTATTTTACTTTAACGGCCGTTTGGGACGTTAAGGTAAAACGCGGTTCATAATTGCATTTTACATAAAACACTCTAACAGACCGTGTTTTATATAGTAGCCAATAAGACTTCTATATAAAATGCGGTCCATTACCACACTTTATATAAAACGCGGTAATGAACCGCGTTTTATATAATAGAACCCTTCTCTTTCTCCCACGTTTCTGCCCAGATCCCCATCCCCTTCCCCTTCATTTTTAAAAAAATAGCAGTCCCCCCTCCATTAACGTCCAAAAAAAACTCGTGTGGACCCCACCCGTACCGTAAAAAAAAATATTGCTGGTCCCACATCCTAGCCAAGCCTTCTATTGTTGTGGGTTGCTTGTTTTGGAATCAAATATTTAAATCTTCAACTTTATGAAAAACATAATTCGAGGTATTCCGATTTAGTTTATGTCCAAACTCGTATAAATAATGTATATTAGTTATTTTTGAATGTGTTGTATGTTGTTTTGTACTTTTTTTGCGATTAAATTGGTATGTTATTTTTATTCAGACTAAGATATTAATGTTGTAAAAAAATATGTAAAAATTGTGAAATCGTTATTATTTGTTAATAAAAATGTTAATAAATTACTATTACTATTTTATATGTATTTTTATGATTACAATATATTTATTGTGTTTTTCTGGTTTAAATTATTTTTTTTGCTTAAAGACTAGTAAATCAGAATGCCTTTTAGGGTAGTAAAATGTAGTGTCTTTTAGCGTAGTATAATGTAGTGCCTTTTAGCATAGTAAAATGTAGTGCCTTTTAGCGTAGTTTCCCTGTAGTTTAAGTATCTCTTATACTCAAAAATACGTCAAAAACTGATAGATCAAACACGAACTAACCAATTATAGTCAACATATATTTTGGTGCTACTGGACCGCAAATATCGAGTCTGGACCCCATATATGAATCTTTCATAATTAAATATTATATAATTATAAAAATTAATTATTTAATTTACAAACAAACATATAAAATTATAAAACTAACATATAAAATAATAAAACTAACACATAGAATAAACTGGTGCTACTGGGCTCCAAATACCGAGACTCGAACACATATGTGAATATTTAATTATAAAAATTAATTATTTAATTTACAAACTAACATATAAAATTATAATAAAACTAACACATGGAAGAATTTAGGATATCTTGGTGCTACTGGGCTGCAAATATCGAGCCTGGAACCCATATATAAATCTTTATTTATAAAAATTAATTATTTAATTTATAAACTAACATATAAAATTATAATAAAACTAACACGTGGAAGAATTTAGGATATCTAGGTATTATTGGGCCACAAATATCGATCCCAGAACCTATATATGAATCTTTAATAATTAAATATTGTATAATTATAAAAATTAATTATTTAATTTACAAACAAACATATAAAATTATAAAACTAACATGTAAAATAATAAAACTAACACATAGAATAAATTGGTGCTACTGGGCTCCAAATATCGAGCCCGAAACCCATATGTGAATATTTAATTATAAAAATTAATTATTTAATTTACAAACTAACATATAAAATTATAATAAAACTAACACATGGAAGAATTTAGGATATCTTGGTGCTACTGGGCCTCAAATATCTAGCCTGGAATCCTTATGTGTATACATTATAATTAAATATTTTATAATTATAAAAAATAATTATTTAATTTACAAACTAACATATTAAATTATAAAACTAACATGTAATTAATGTTGTTTAATTTACAGTAGACGACATGGAGGTGCCGCCTATTCATCCCGGACCTTCCAGCGATGCGCTACTCTCATTACAGGGTGATCATAGGTCTGCCCACATATGGGAGGGTGAGTTACTGACCAGACTCTCCGCACCAGGAGAGTGGACGATATGTGGGACTTTCTGCATGCCAGAGATCTCCATGACTGTGTAGTCGTGCGCCTACAGGACACGGGTTTCTACAGGATGATTGAGATCGGGCGGCTGCAGCTCGATTGGTCTTTGGTCATGATCTTGATAGAGTGGTGGCGACCGGAGATGTACACATTCCACCTGCCCATTGGCGAGGCCACCGTCACACTATAGGGCATAGAGGTTTTATATAGGCTGCCCGTTGATGGACTGCCTATTGCTCTACTGGATGGCATGAGAGAGATGACACGTGTGCAGTACCTGGACATGCTGCAGCGGCTCACTGGTTTCCGGCCAAAGGATGAGACTGTACTGCATGGGACCAGTCATTTTCCATTGACGACTATTCGACTGTGGTTGGAGGTATTGCATCCTCAGATCGATCGCGCTACACCGGATGATCATGTTGACTAGTATACGAGGCTGCTGCTACTCCTGTTGTTTGGAGGGGTCTTGTTCTCAAACACTTCGGGGAACCTAGTCAGCTTGAGATTTCTTCATCATCTTGAGCGACTAGATGATTTACCCTAGTACAGCTCGGGCTCTACTGTTCTCGCCTACTTATACAGATGCATGTGTCGGGCGAGCATGGGCACCCAGCGTGAGCTTGCTGGATTTTCGCCGCTACTACAGATGACAACATATTCGAATACTCTATTCATTTTAACATACCTAGTAAAAATATATCTTAACTTTTACGTCAACTTTCTATGTTAGGTTTGGGCCGGGGGCGGTTCCTGCAGTTGCAGCCACCTCTACCACCATTAGATCTGGATGTACCACCGGAGTTGGTCTCTCTAGCTAGTAGGTGGGTACTCCGGCGGGGACATACATGCGAGTAAGAGGCTCGGCATAATCTCTCCTTGTGCATGGATATATTGGATTTGCTAGATGGCGCACAGGTATATGTATATCTAAGTTTACTTGTCATTGCTTCAAACAGAAGTTGCGTATACTGACTTTTTGTGTTCTTCCTTAATAGTTCATCTGGACGCCATACAGCGGCGTGCTGATAGATGGCTTGCCCGATTGTTGCTCGGTCGGCCGTGATATGTGGGGCTCTTCCATCCCATTATTATGCATTAATATTGTGGAGCATCATGCCACCAAGTGGGTAGTTTGCCAGTTTGGCAGGCCGCAGCTCGTACCGACAGTGCCCACCTGGGAGGCCATATATTACCAGCGGGGTGATCGTACCAGGGTGGACGACGCATATTTGGCATGGCTACAGGATCAGATATTTACTTGGGACCAACGATTAAAG